CAGCGAAGTGCATCACGCTTCTTGCGCGACGTGTCATTTTCATGCAAATCACAATGGAATAGCGTCGCAAACTGACACGTGACACATCCATGAAAAGTCACTTGCAAAAGCTTCCCCCAATGGCAGCGCCTTAGCGCTCTACTGCGAACGGTTGCGGACGGTTGCGGACGGTTGCGGACGTAGAAACAACGGATCGCGAACAAGGCTCTACCCCCAGACCCCCAAGAGTTAAACGAGAACCCTTCGCTACGCATTCGGGAAAAACACGCAACATGTGCCTTTCTGTCTAATTTGATCACCATCATAGTTGGAACTGACTGTATCAGGAATGTGTGCGCACGCTGACTCAACAAGTTCAACATGGAGAGAATGCCCAAGAAACTTTCGACTTCCCGTGGATAATAGCCGATCGCCGATCTACTCATGGTTTATTGCCAGTGTCCATGTTGGTATTTCGGTAGTCTTAGACTTGCTTCAGGAACTGGAAACAAACATCTATTATTCCCAGGAAGGGGATTCACCCCAGGAACGGGATTCAATAGAAACATCACCCAGTGAGTTCACCCGGGATGTTTTTCCACCAGGACACCAAATGTAGGCCTCCGGGAGCATGGCACGAATCTCCATGGTGGCCTGCGTTTCATCTGCAAAGAGCACCTCAGTCGAGTTCAGTTATCAGAGTTCGCCAAAGAAGAACGGAGGGGCTCCGGGCCCTGTCACATCCACATCAGCCCCTGGATGAGACGAGCCAAACCATTGCATGGAACTGCTGGCCAGGAGTCTTTTGTGGCTATAGAGGATCTTGTAGGTCGGATCGCGTGTTTTACTCGGATTCACTCCCCCGAGGAGCTTGTTTCACTCAATGGTCTCTTGTCGCCTATTCTAGTGAAACCATCCATGTTCCGGGAAGCATATATTCACCATCACTTTCCAAAAACACATCCGTCCCTGGTCTTGCCGGGACAAGCAAAGGCTTTGCTTGTCGGATTCCACTGAAGGTGCAAATCACACACGGTCACAGAGTCGAAAGCAACAATTAAACAACAACTGTCAAGCTTCTTATATAAGTAACCTTTTTCAGTCCCTGAGTGACCTTGTACACGATTTCTCTCTCGATCACCAAGAGATCAAGACCGACCACCCCAGACGTACCCGAGGATGTCATCGGCTCCCGCGTTTGACGAACGGCGGATCCCGGTTGGAAACACAGGGAATCCACATGTGACCACTAAGCCTGAACTGGGGGTTCTTGATTTCAGGGGTCCTGAAGGCGGTCAAGATGCCCCCACCAGTTCATGTGTGCATTCTACAGACTTCCAGCCACATCTCGAGAAGTGGCAGTCCGCCAGTGGCAGTCCGATCGTTAGTTCGTTTGCCTGAGCGCCATATAGATGCGACCGTTATCGTTCAAACAAAGAGGCCGGACTAAGCTAACTGCCGGACTATAACATGCTCAGAGCCAGAGCGATATCCAGGCGTTCCCTCTTTAGGCACCAAACATGCATCTGGCACCAAAGAGCGCTGCAAACATGACCCTTTCTGAACCACCCAAGCACCCGGACTGCTACGCCTGCCACCTCAAACCACCCCAAGGTGGGCAAAAGACCAGACCAACGAGACCGAACTACAGCTTCACTCTCTCCCTTCCAGGTCCATTACCCAAACACCACCACAACCTGCAACCAAACACGTCAGATGTGTCACGTCTCATCGGATGTGTCGGTTCTTTGTGTCACGTCGACTCAATAGCCGATCAGGCGCCCAATAGCCATCCAGGCTCAAACGCAGCGATCCATCCATGAGACCACGCAAGGCAGATTGCAAGACCTCCAACTGCTGACCGGACGGGTCTGGGTGTCGCCTGGCGAACGGGCACGAGGTCGACTTTTGCTGTCGAAGCCGAGAAGGAAAACACATATCTATGTACAAAACCGTTTTTTTTCCCAGCAAGCAACCTGGTTTTTGTAGGTGAACACCTTTGTTTTTATGGTTTTGAGGGCCCCTGGTATATGTACACACAACTCCCCATGTCAAGGGTTTTGTCCAGTTCAGGAAAATTCAGAATCGCCTTAATTGAGTAAAAAGTCAGGTCTTCAGCTAGGCCATGAGTGGTAGCCGTACATTGTACTTCAAGTACTTGGAGGGTACCGAAAAGTAAAGAAAATACTTGTTCTCCTCTCATCTCCAGGCGAGGACTTCCAAGGACTTCCTCCTCTTTTTCTGGGGCCATGGAGTCTCGAGGTGGGATGAAGCACATTCAGTTTCTGTGTCCAAGAGAGGTGGATAGTGACCGTCAATAGGACCCTACTGGGGTACTTACTGGGGTACCTATGGAATAGTCTATAGGGACTTCTATAGGGTCCTTCAACCTCTGTTGGACAGGGCCATCTGAGCAGCCTTGAAAGCCATTGATGCGAGACAAAGAGCACGAACATGCCCGGCTCCCACTGGTGTAGCAACTTCTCCTGTGATTGGCGAGCGAAGACAAACACAAAAAAAACAAGTGCCACCGACAGAAGTAAAAGGTGTCCAACGCCAAAAAAGGGGAGTTGGTTGACTTGATATCCTTGGGCATGTTATAATATGTCTTAAACCCTACATACAGGTCCAAAAACCCAGTAAAACCTGCACATTTACCTAGTTGAGTGGTGCGTTTTTGTGATCAACTCCAGTCAAACGAATCCAAACTGACCTGTAGGGCAAGGTTGTTTGTATCCATGCGGAGCCACACGCAGCTTTTGTCGGAATCATCTTGTTTGTGTGGATTTGAAGTTGAACACGGGGTCACGTCGTGTGAAATGGGCACTAGGAAAGCAAACATAATATGACAATTTCTTGGACCCCTGGGTTGATGACGGCTGATGTTTCATGACGATTCTTGCTGACAAAAGAAGGTCGTCTCCCTGGTTGACATTGAACACATGCAGGACAACAAACAACACCGCCCTGCTGAAACCGCGGTCCGCCCCGCTGTTGCACTCGCTCGCTGGCCCTCATGGGCCCAAAAAACAAGAAGGACCTAGGTCTCTTGGCCCTTCTCCTCAGGCTTTTTTGCCTCCCCAAGGACCACCCACCATCGAATTGAACCCGAAACGTCTTTTGAGGACAGGTACTGTATGGGCCTGACCATGACAGTTTCCACCCCACCCGTGATTTGCATGAAAACCACATGTGCTGGGCAGTACACCAGCTTGTGTGGTAGGACGGTGACAGCCAGCTGCCCAAAAGCGGCACAGCCAGCTGCCCTCATGAGTAAACCGTCACCAACACAAAACAGAAAAGCTTGATCAACGGACTGTAATGACATGTAATGACAACTGACCAACTGAACAAACAAACCAAAAACGGCTTTGTGCACTCAGTCCTCTGCAGGGGGAACAAAAACACAAACAAACCAAAAACACACAAAATAACTTTTAAAAAAGGTGCTTCTCTTCTCCTTCAGAAGCGAAGCATGATCCTTCGGAGTGCCTTTCATCTGCAGAAGATCCGCCATCTTCACCACGTACATGGGGAAGACGGTCTCGTGCACCCATCCTATGGACCGTCTCGTCCCGGAGAACGACACGGAGAACAAGAACGGACGACCCAAGCGCTGGTGCCGCGGTGGTGTTTGGTGACGTGGACGCGGTGGTGCAGCGGGGATGAGCTTGGAGGCGGATGATGACGGTGTTGGTGCATTGGTTGGAAGTGAAAGCACCCAACAAAGGTGGGTCAGGACCCGACTGTTCGACTATCCCAGTTGGGTACCCCAGGTAGCTCGGGTCCGTTCGTTCAGGTCACTTAGGCTTAACCTCTCTTGAGTCTCTTGAGCTGCTGAAGCTATGGTTCACAGCCCCCGAGGTCAGGAACGGCCCCCGAGGTCAGGAACGTGTGCGAAGGCAACACACACACACAGTGAGGCGCTCCTGGACAGGAGGCGCTCCTCACAAACCTTCCCTATGAAAAGGGGGGTATTGGAGGGTTGAAGGCAACAAAAGGCAACAGAAAATGAAGGTGTTCATGGAGGATTTGCTGAAGTTCCAACGGTCAGACACCCCAGACCTGGGCAGGTTTTCAAGAATGAGCGCCCCGATCGTAGCGTCCCTACTACTACTACTACTACTACTACTACTACTACTACTACTACTACTACTACTAC